CTCTCATGGAACACATCATGAATGTAACGCACCATGGAAGCCACTGTCAGTAATGATTTCATCCTGTCGGGTCGGATGTGCAGACACGACGCGCTGCACAATGAAGACTGCGATGAGGGTTCGAAACAATACTGTTTGAAGAAGAAATCTCACAGCTCGTGAGGAAGTCCTGCCGTACGCTGCACCTGCGCAGGTTGATGCCACTAGACTCCCTTCTCCAATGTAGGGAAATCCGGTGGGCTCGCCATCCGAATCAGCAGGTGTATCGGGGCAGCCGGCGCAAATGGCGTTGAGAGACCAGGTGGCATCGGCCCTTGGTCAGGATCCTATACAAGGAAAAACCCTGTATATCAAACGCTCGAAGAGCATAGCAAAAAGGACAACGGATTAATAGAGTCATATTTGGAATTGCCTGAACAAAGAAGCTCCTTGTATATGATGAACAGTAGAGAATAATAATTCGAGCAACTTAATCTTCGGAATGATTATGCTAAGCAACAACTATCTTCCATCAAATTTATCGTGGAGTAGGGACAGGTTCCAACGCATGCCAGCATTGCTTTGCTGGCACAGAAGTCCTTGCGAAAGCAGGAGGACATACTTGTTAAGTTTTGGGCAATGGACAATCGCCTCAATGCTCTAGAGGACACCTTCAAGGATGAGACGCAAATTGTTAAGGCCAAGGCGGTAAGAGTTCTGTTTAAGTCCAGATATTCGTTGCTAATCACCCTTCATAGATGGGCCTACCAGTCTTGCAGAGGATCCTCCACTGGCAGTCATACAAGCCAGAACTCTGGAGGAACCACTACTCGGTCGCGGTTAGGACTTCTCATCTCTCATTGTAATGTCTCATCTGATTGCTTAATTTAAGCCATCCTGGTCGAGAAGGGAGGGTCCTCGACAATGGTCCGAGTGACCGCGTCGTGGATTCCCTGGTGAGGCTTAGGCAGGAGGAGCTCTCCAATTTCAAGACCCTCCTGCAGTCCCTGCCGCAAGAGAACTGCATCCTCGGGATCGTCCAGCATCTGGCCAGCGATACCGGCCTGAAGCCTGGCAGGTACCGCCAGAAGTGGCACCTGTCGCCACCAGATGGCTTACTATACTACGTAATGCAAAGACTGACAATAGCTTGTGGCACTTCAAGGACCACCAGACGCCAACAGCCGATCTCTTCCGCAAGCCGACAAACTTTTTGCGAATGCCCACGCTGGGTTCGTCATCCTTTCCGCCGGGCAGACAGATTGCCTGGGTAGAGACCGTCTGGCCCAGTGGGGCGGACGTAGCAGGGGAGAATAACGGCGCTGGATTTTCGGCCGTTGAGGGCGGCTCGGTAGACGATCTCCGTCTCCCGCTCGGTCGCTGCGTTCCTCACTTACTGTGCCCGAAGACTGCTCGACTCACAGCCTGTATCAAACCCCGACAGAAAGTAGATCGGGGAGCATATCTCAACAGCGCTGGGAATTGGCACAGTGCAATTTAAATACGGGATGAAGTGTGGGAGATATTCCAGGAGAAAAAGGGTATATACAGTCCTGGAGACTGTGTCCTACGAACACGGCAGCGAAAGTCGAAGAGTGAAGCTTACTACGATAGGCCAAGCTCTGTAGAATGATGCCATTCTAGGAACACGTACAGCTTGATCTCTCTTGGCAGCATTCGTTAGGGTGGACATTGTAGGTATTTAGTTCTCGTGGGTGAGAGTGCACAGCGACCCGAAGAGGGCGGAGCGATAGACGGAAACAGGGACAGGAAAGATGTAGATGTGTGTAAGTCAAAATACCAGTTGCAGCATGGTAGTGTGAATGACTATTTTCAATAAGGGGACGTTCAGAATGAAAATTCTGTTCCGGTGGGCCGGTGACGTCACGTCGTACACTAGCGGGGCGTATTCACCATGTCACATATGACATGACCCTGAGGGAAAACCTCTGTGAGGCAAAAACCTAGGGTGCAGCTGGTAGTGTAGGAGGTATCGCTGACTTGCTATGCAAGTGCCCTGCATACGCGCTAGCGGCGATGCTTGAATCCAACAGACATACGGTTTGAGCAGGTTTCTAGATCTTGAGTTGTGGTGCCGGGACGAGGAACGAGCGCATAACAGTCTATGATTGGCATGGCACTCTTTGGCCAGAATGAATATCTACACCGAAGAGAAGGGCCAGGTATAGATAGAAATTGGGAATAGGTACTTATTATTCTAGATAAACAACAACAACTCAACTGATCGTGCGCTCCATCAACTAATCCTATTAACTCTCGAAGATGCCGTCTTCAAGCGGCTAACACAGAATAAGCCGCCGAATTTCGCAACATTTGGATCCGTTTCACCAAATCCTCATCACGTGGTGGTGTCCGATCCTGAGATTTGCAAGCTTTGCTCCAGCTTCTCGCTATAGAATAGTTCTCCAGATTTTCGGCTTTTGCCTTCAAATCTTCAATCTCCGCCTTCAACATGCCCGGAGATCCCAGCTTCCTCGCCGCACTCGCCGTTGAAATCCCTACCCTTGCAAAAGTCGTTGCAAACTTCCCACATGGGAACCGCTTTTTCGATAGGAGAAGTGAGGCATACCAGGGTTGGGAGAGAGTTAAAAGTGCTATTCGCCGAACGGCGCAAAGTTATAAAGAGCGCAGATGTTCGCCGTATGTTTATTGGTTCGATGATTTGCGACGGAGTTCGTACGGGTTCTGGGAGGATGTTCCTTATTCTTTTCAGATTCTGATTATCCGTGAGCGTGATGGGACAGATATCTGGGACGAGATAGATAGGGAGAGGGATAGAGTTTTGCGTGTGGATGGATGGTTGCCCGTATATTATAGCGATGATAGCAATGGCGATGATTATGATGATGACGATAATGATTGGATCTTCGACTTGACGTATGAATTCATAGGGGATGTCTCCGAAGATGATGATGAATTGATTGTGGATGAGCCTGAGGAAGATGAATTCGAAGAAGATTATACTGAAGAAGATGAATTTAAAGAAGACGAGCTTGAAGATGATGGTACCGAAGAAACCGAGTTTGAAGAAGACGAGCCCGAAGAACTCGAGTCTGAACAAGATGATTCAGATAAAACCGATGAGGACATGGACATGCAAGACGACACTAAGGAATCTGACTACGACTTTAATTCCAGCGACCTGGAAGATAAGATCCATTAGCCATTACTTCCAAGAATTATTAGTCGATGCTCTGCGCCCAAGCCTGACTGATTTTGAGTCGACCAAGCTTTCGGAGACGGGCGGAGAGATTACAACATTAGTTTGCTCTTTATGGCATAAAAGTTATAATTCCTGCCATTCACTGCCTTACAGACATACGCTCGGAGGACGGGTAACCCAATTGAACATGTATTCAGACTACTAGTTTGATTCCGTCGTAGTCACATAATACCCCAAGTAGCCTTATCTGCGAAAGCAAATCATAAAATTACAACCACAACCGCCCAAAAACCCCCCCTACCAACCCTCTTATCAATACTCCCCCGGCCAAACCTCATCCGCCACACTTCTCACCAACCTCAACTTTTCAACCATATCCCCCCACCCCAGCGCATTCCCCTCCTCATGCGACGCGAATCCACACTGGGGACTCACCCCCATCCTCTTAAGCGCAGCATCCCTACCCTCCCCACTCTTCGCCACAAATTCCGCAGCCTCCCTAACCCTCCTCACCATCTCCCCCTTCCCCTCCAACGTGGGAAACTTACTACTCACTACCCCGAGCACCACATTCTTATCCCTCGGGAGCTCCTTAAGCGGTTCAAACCCCCCCGCTCGTTCGGTATCATATTCAAGGTAGAATGTATCGACGTTAAGGTTCTGGAATAGTCTCGTCGCGATACGGTCGTACCCACCCTCGGAGAAGTGTCTCGACCCAACGAAGTTGCCACGGCAAAGGTGGATTCCCACGTGCATGTCCCTGGGTTTGGAGAGGAGGCAGGCATTGTAGAGGCCTATGTAGGAGTTGAAGACTTCATCGGGGGTGTGCGTGTTTGCTGAGTCGAGGGGCCAGGAGTGGAGCATTTTTTCGGAGCAGAAATCTGGGAGGGGGGTGTTAGTTGATATATTCTTCGGGTGTGGGGGTCTCAGTGAGTACATCCTTATGGAGGGAAGATGTCCGTCCGAGGGGAGGAGGGTACAGGTATACATACACGCAAGATTCGGATCATCAATCTGCACGTTCCTCAAGCCCGCGTCGTAGAGGATAGATAGCTCAGTCCGATACGCAGCAGCGATATCTGAGAAATATTCCGCATCATTTTTGTAGACATCCGAGGGGTATGCTTTGCCCTCGCGGTAGCGGAGATGATACCATGTTGGTGCTGCGAGGGTTAACTTGATCCCCTCCCTCCAACCCTCCGGGACGATTGAGCGGAGGAATGTGTATTGGTCAATGTAGCTTGATTTCCCCGTGTGCGAGATTTTGCCCGTGCAGATTACGGTTTCGCCCGGCACGGCGTCTTCTTCGAGGAAGGCGGCAACGTCGGGGGCATAAGGACGAAAAATTTCGCGGGGGGGGTTGGTGATTTGAGTCATGCCGTTTAGGGAAGGAAAAAAGGTCCCCCAGAACATGTGTCGGCCGTATTCGCCATCCGTGATGCCGTGGAAGTTGAGGTCGATTTGGAGTTGGGTCGCTTCGCGAATGCTGGATTGTTCGATTGCTGGGAGATCTGAGATGGGCGCTGTGCCGTTGTGAATTGCACGGCGGATTTGAAGGAGTTTCTCCGGGCGGAGGAGGGAGCCTAGGTGTTCGGCTCTGGGTAATGGTTAGATAGGGGTGGGTGGTTTGCGATGGACGGACCTGTAGGGTGGGCTTCGGAAGGACATTGTGTTGTCGAGAGTGAGTGAGGTCTGTCGGTGAGTGAGGGGAAGCTGGTTTGCAAGATTACCCTCCATGACGTGATGTGGCTGCGAGAGGTGAGATATATGCAGGGACCTGCAGATGCATGCGAAGAATTGTGTGCAGCGCGCTCCGGGCTTATTGGCTTTTGCGCATCGAAGGGCTGTTTAGTTAATTGGTCTGGAAACACAGGTGCTTGAGTCCGCACACAGCCAGCGTGCAGGTGGCCTGTTCAGTACCTTGATGATGCATTTGGGCAAGATATGAAGAATACTTAGAGAATGTACTGGTTTCTCTGACTTCAGGTTGCTATCTCGTGATCCTATTAGAGTGTCTTACACTGCTGATCCCTGTGACAGTTGCAATTAGACCATTAACATTTCTGTGCTATATCTTTTTCCACCATCTGGCGGCATTGTTGTCCCAAGACTTGCAGCTGGTCTTTGAGGTCATACCGTTGTTCATTGCCATCAGAAGTCAATTCCTTCAATCTTTCGTCGTTGTCTTTCAATTGCGCCTCCAAAGACTTTTTTGTGAGTTTCAAAGTGCTTTCATAGTCGTCAATGATGATGCGGAATTTTTCGTCATAGTAAGCCACTATTCTCTGGATCTCTTCCTCAAGCCAAGCATCGTCTTCCCTGTGAACCCCTGAAACTGTGGGAAGCTTGTTATCGCCAGCCTCGTCCTGCCTTTCCCCGGCATCAGTACTACCTAGCCCCGCCACTGGTTCAGAATAGTTCGATTTCAATGGAGATATCGCTCGTCTCTTGCTAAGCGTTGGGCAAATAAAATCTTGGCCAACTTCCACATGGTCTTTCACAGAATCCACGTTCAGCGGCTGGAACGGAAGATTCACAATACGGCGTTGGAGGGTGAGGTAAAAGCCCCGATATATATGGCGCATTATGGCAACTGCCTTGCTATTCCCACACGCTGAGCCTCCATAACAAGGTTTCATGTCATCGTCCAGGCGAGTGTGGAGAATTGGGTCACGATAATAGCCAGTTTGCTTCCCAACTTCATATTTCACGAAAAAATGTCCATAGATGATGAATTGATGGGCGTCGTGTGCCATGCTGAAGCACAGAATTCGGCCTTGAAAATTATCGAGGGCCTCGGGACTGGCAACCTGGTACAGCTGATAGATGGAGTCGATCATGATGGCTCCTTTTGAAGACGCATGGTCATTACTATCTAAGCAGGTTGATGTATGGTTCACAAACGAAAAAAAAGGAAAGTACAGCTTGTCGTTCTGCTCACCTTTTGTAAAAATAGCGAGTCTGTGTTTGTTATAAAGGCTCAGTCGATCCAGCTGCTCGCGATTAAAAGCCGGTGCAGTTATACTACAGGTGATATTCTGCTCCCCCTCGGCTGTGTTTTCACTCGCTCAGATGGTTCCTAGTTGTACCGTCATGTTGTACTCTCTCGACTCTTCGTCTTTGACTGCGTCGTGAAGAGGCGGCACGAGGATCGTAAACAAACCACTAGCAAGCCCCTGGTCGAATTCACAGACATATCGATTCTTAAATTTCCCCCAGTCGTCGAAGGTCTTCAAGGCCGGGACTGGGACATGCTCTATACTGTTAAATTCCCGCAACCTCCTCAAGTCTTCCTCGATCAAATGCCCAACGTCACCTGGTAAGCTGGTGTAGCACTTGCAGTACTCTTCAGCGTAAGTTGCGACATTGCTCTCCGCATGCGAGTGCTTTCGAGGGTACATGAGCTCCCTCGTCCTAGGCTGCTCTCAAATCAAAAAGTCCTGTTGGGTGTAGATGATAATGTTTGAGCGCGTACGCGGATATCGTTCTAACACGGCTTGGGCCGGCATGGCGATCAACCACTTGGACTTTGAAGACATTTTCCTGAGTCATCGAACAATTGCAAAGACTCTTAGGCTTGAGCGAAGCGTCCAGTCCGACTATTGGGAGAGGCTTTGAAGTTGAAATGATGCCATTCAATTGCGTGGGTCAGGTGGCGTCAACACCGTCATCACAAAGTTAACGGTCTCAGGGCTCAATTCCCCTATCATACTTCCTTACTTTGAAGATGTTAGAGTTTACGACTCCTCGAAGACTGATCCACTCCTCTGTTCCCATGGAAGAATTGAGACGCGAGCATGAGTACAACTGTTGCTACGCATCACAAAAGAAGAGCGTGCGTTAACCGTCGTCATCGACCCTCGTGTCATTTAGTACCTTAGTTGGACAATTCTATCCCTAGGAGATCATTATCCCATCTCATATACCTTGCAGTGCATGAATGTATGTATGGGAAAGAAGAGCAGAATGGAAGTCATGAATTCTCCGATCTCGCCAGCTGGTTAGGCGAATTACATCAAAGAACCCAACCGGTCCGTGCGATACACGTTCATCTCATTGGCCAGGCATCAAGCCACGCTTAGCTAACAGTGTTTGCCTTCACCATAGTAGCCATGCCAGCCACACGCGACGACGAATTAACCTTTCAACCATCCCTGCAGGACGCAACATCATTCCCTCATTGAAAACAATGACAAGCAGCAAAACCACCACCCCAAGCAAGAAGCGCAAACGTGACAGCAGCCCTCCAACACGCAACCTGGACTTCTTCTTCGCGAAGCGACCCAACCCCAACTCCGTCGCAGAGGAACCCGAAGGAAGCCTAACCGACGAGCAACTCGCGCGAAAGCTGCAGGCAGCGGAAGATGCCCTGGCGGCACCTAGCGCAGCGAGCCACGAAACAATCGGCACGGACGAAGCATTAGCGCGCAAACTACAAACCGGATGGAGCGCAAGTGAAGATGCGACGCGGGAAACACCCCAAGTCCTCACCCTCCAACCCACAAGCACTACTGCGGAGGACGTCATATCCTCCATCCCCCTAACCCAAGACATCGTAACCTTCAACCCATCGACCTACACAGATTTATTAGAGCGCGCATGGCAGCAAGGCAGCGCGACCTACTCCCTCCTAACCCACAGCTTCACACTAATCAACTCCACGCGGTCTCGCATCGCAATAATCACAATCCTAACAAACACTTTGCGCGTTCTCCTGGTCCATAACCCTACAAGTCTCCTACCCGCAATATACCTCTGCACCAACACACTCAGTCCACCATGGGTCCCCACCGAGCTCGGCATCGGCGGCAGCCTAATCTCTAAAGGCCTCAAGCGCGCATGTGGGCTCGACGACGCGACGCTGCGGAGCCTCCACCACAAGCTCGGCGATGCGGGCGATGTAGCTGCTACCGCGAAGAGGAAGCAGAGTCGCACGCTGGTTAAGCCTAAGCCGCTGACTATTAAAGGCGTATATGAGTCTTTGCTCAAGATCGCGGACGCAAAGGGAAAGGGGTCGCAGGAGATTAAACAGGGGATTGTGGAGGGGCTTATTAGAAACGCACAGGGTCCAGAGGAGTGTAGATTCATTGTGCGCACGCTATCGCAGCATTTGAGAATTGGAGCGGTAAGGGGAACGATGTTGATTGCGCTTGCGAGGGCGTGTGCTGTTACCCAGTCTACGGGAAGGGAGTATGTGGTTTATGATATTGAGGGGTTGAGGAGGCTTGCGAAAGCGGATCTCGCGGGTGTGTGGGCGCAAGCTGAGGAGAGGGTTAAGGCTGCGTTTGCGAAGAGGCCGGATTATGGGCTGCTTGTTCCGAGGTTGATGGAGGTTGGGGTTAAGGAAGGTACGGATGCCCTGGGTGGCATGCAGTTGCATGTCCCGGTTATGCCTATGCTTGGCGGCATTACGCGTGACGTGGGTGAGATGATACAGACGCTTCGTGGGAGGGCATTTACGTGTGAGTATAAGTATGATGGGCAGAGGGCGCAGGTTCATTGTGATGGAGAGGGAAAGGTGAAGATCTTTTCGAGACATCTGGAGGATATGACGGAGAAGTATCCTGATCTCGTTGCACTGGTGCCGAAAGTAAAGGGAGAAGTCAAAGACTTTGTCCTGGAAGGCGAGGTTGTTGCTGTTGACCGCGAGACTGGCGAGTTGAAACCTTTCCAGACCCTGGCGAATCGTGCGAAGAAAGATGTCGGACTGGAAAGCGTTAAGGTGGATGTCTGCTTCTTCGCCTTTGATTTGATGTTTGTGGATGGCGAAGAACTGTTGGATAACCCACTGAGGGAGAGGAGAGGATTGTTGAGAAGTTTATTTGTCCAGATTCCTCATCATTTTACATGGGTGGAGTCTCTGGATGCCGAAGCAACAGACTTGGAGAGTGTGAGCGCATTTTTGAAGAAGGCTATTGCAGCCAAATGTGAAGGCATCATGGTAAAGGTTCTGGATAACCTCGCTGACGCTCCGGAAAAGAGGAAAAAAGCCCTTCTTGCCACCTACGAGCCGGATAAGAGACTTGACTCCTGGCTCAAGGTCAAGAAGGATTACAGCCTGTCAGCTGATACAATAGATTTGATCCCAGTTGGGGGATGGCATGGCCAAGGAAGGAAAAACGCCTGGTGGTCTCCGATTTTGCTTGCTTGCCGCAATGAAGAGTCTGGTACACTCGAGGTTGTGACAAAGTGCATGTCAGGCTTCACTGATGCTTTTTACAAGGCCAACAAGGAAAAGTATTCTGAAGATGGTATCAATGTCATATCTCGTCCTGCGTACATAGAGTATGCCGGCGAGCCAAACGTCTGGTTCGAGCCTCAAGAGGTATGGGAGATGGCTTTTGCCGACATTACTCTCAGTCCAACATACACCGCTGCCATAGGGCTTGTGAGCGAGGAAAGAGGTTTGAGTCTTCGCTTTCCTCGCTTCCTGCGTGTCAAAGAGGACAAGACCATTGAAGAAGCAAGTACAAACGAGTTTCTTGCTGAACTGTACCGGAAACAAGGGTCCAAGAAGGAAGAAGACTCAGACCATTTTGGATAACCGCGCAAAGTAAAGCGGCCCCCATCTACCTCCAGCCGGATGATCAGGCAGCACAATCCATCCGAACTTTGTGCGCTCTGCCCAGATCTCCAACGCCTTGTCTTGGAGCAACTCCACCTCGACTTTCCACTTTGCGCCCTTCTTCCTCTCTTTTTCCACCTGTGTCATCATCTTTTCTATGACACCATCGTTCTCGGTCGGTTCAATGGAACATGTCGCATACAGAACCTTGGCACCAATCTTACACGCCCGCAGAGCAGTCATCAACAATTTAACTTGTGTCGCAGCAAGTTTCTTTGACGAAGCTGGTCTCCACGCAGCCAAATCGTTGTGAATCAAATGCCGTTCACTCGAACAAGGCACATCAACGAGGGCCTTATCAAATGTCGCAGACGGGAGGGAAGAGGCATTACTCGCATCAAGGTTGGAGAACTGAACCAAACCTGACTGCATCATCCGAGGGGGCAGGTACGCCTTCAAATTACGCTTCAGCCGAGCAAATCGCTTGGAATCAGATTCATTAACAACAAGTCTGCTGGCAGCATTTTCAGCATGCCAGAGGCATTGAGAGAGAGCAATAGATTTACCGCCCGGTGCCGCACAGAGGTCTAGGACTTTATCGCCCGCACTAACATCCAACAGAGCAGCGGCTAGAACGGAAGCTGCATCAAGAAGCCAGTGCGTCAGCGGCCGGTTCGTGATTTGAGGCTGAGGGAACTCGTCGTCCAGCAGACACGTTATCTCACAGTTTTCCACCGGAAACTCCACCTTCTGCCCCGTAATCTTCCCATCAGAGTAGCGATTTGCCAGTACAGCATGCCTCGTAGGTTTAGCCAGCGCAGGATAAAGCGACTTTTCCCATCGTTCAGCGCCGTATGTCGCAGCAAAGTGATCATGAAATGTCGCCATCGTCGCAGTTCAATGGCTTAGGCGAAGCTACCCTGCATGAAGACGGAAAATGTTCCGCGTTCTGACGCGGCGCACCGCGACAAATTTCCAATGTCACACACAGTCTTCCGCTACGAAGCATGTCATACCGAGGCGGACGAGGCGGCTTTCGCAACGATCGGGGTGGTTTCCGTGGCAATCGCGGCGGTGGAAGCGGAGGTCGCGGAGGATTTCAGCAGGGACCGCCCGACACTGTCCAAGGTTAGTTGTTCCATTACCTCCTTCTCTCTTGAATCCATTTAACAATCCACCCAGAAATGGGCACATTCCTCCACGCGACCGAAGGCGAAATGGTCTGCACATCCACAAGCAAGCGCATCCCCATGTTCAGCGCGAACATTTACCTCGAGAACAAGACCCCGATTGGCAAGATTGATGAGATTCTCGGTCCAATTAACCAGGTGTATTTTACGATTAAGCCGAATCAGGGCATTCAGGCGACGTCGTTTAGGGTG